GTGTATGTCAGATGGTAGATAAATGTGAATAGGAGAAAGCAACGGCAGAAGAATAGAAATTGTGCAAAAATGCAATTAAATTAATACAGCTAGGTGGCCTAATCATATTTTGCAGCTGAAAATATGTATTTTTGTAACATCACTTTTCTGTGGTGAACAATTGTTGTTTTTTTGCTGTGGTGACCTTGAGTATTTGCCAAAGGTGGGACAAACAATGCCTACGCTGCTTCCACTCATACAGCATACCATACCACAACATACACTAAAACATTATTATTAAGGTTTTGTGTGATTGTAAAAAGCTCATTTTATGGCTTTCTGAGATAAGCAGTATACTATTAAAGCTTTGCTATGAACTTGTGGCATTAAGCTATCAACAACCAACCCAAGAGTAGGACTCAGCAGTACCTGCACCTTGCACCTTATTTCTCTGACCTTCCCTGTATGCAAGCTTTCTATGCTTGCTTGATACCCAGGCAAAACACTGCAGGAGTTTTTTGTCCCCTTCCCAGAAGAATTAGGTTATAAAGATGTACTTAGTAAGTCTAATTTCTGTTGTTTATGCAAGACCTAGAAAAGATTCTCATCCCTTCCCCCTTCCTCTGGAAACTCAAGGCATTGATGGTCTGAATTTCATTTGTAAAACTAAGTGTACAGGGGTGGATGTCAGAACAGAACCTGATGTTGGTTAGCTTTTTTTCCTAACAGATATCCAAGCAGCCCAAACTAATTTTAATCTGTCCTTCCACCTACTCCCCAACCCTGTGCTGTGAAATTACCACTCTCAGCATTAGGAAAAACTTTTAGCTGAAACTGGGGAAAGTGGTGCGGGACTCTGCAGCTTTCAAATAGCAGCAGCAGAACACTAGCTGTGGTGTGTGTAGTTGCTGTGGTCACTGGAGAAAGCAGATGTGGTATCTGTCCTTTCCTGTCTGCTGCTTCTGCATTGCAGGGATGGAAGTGAGCATCCAAGTGAGACAATAGTTGCTTTTTCTCAGTAGCAATGCTGACAGAAATGAATGTCAAAGGACAGGCTCGTGAGTTGAACCTGGCAAGCTCTGGCAGTGTTTTGCCCTGACAGGGAGTCAGAAATCTCCCACAGGAAGACACAAGTTCTGTTCTCTAAATGTTATTCAAAAATCCTCAGCAAAGTATTGCTGAATAACATGGGTCTGGTTCTCTCCAAGGCATTCCTATTCCAACCATGCAATTCAAAACGCATTTTGAAAAAGCAAGAAAGGAGAAATACATGAAGGCTGTTTAGAATCAATGTCTGACCATTTTGCTGTGTTTGAGATTTCTTTTAGTAAATTTCTATATACAAATCCTATAAGAAAGTCTACCTTTTTTCAGTTCTGAAGTTCAAGTAAGACTTCACTATTTTTTTGGTATCTTTTTCAATCTGTCACTGGGAATTCAAAACATAATTTGAAAAAAAACATCAAAGAAGCAACCTACACTTAGAGGGAACTGAAAAGCAGGAGTACAGTGTAGCAAGTTCAGACATTAAAAAGCAAGAGAGAATATAATATGCTCTGTGCAATGCAGCTATGGCTAAATGCTGATTTGCACATTAGGACTAGATTAGCATCACTCAGATGTGATCTGCATATTGAGTAACTATCACAAGTATGGTACTATTGATGAAAAATGAAACTGCATGGTACAATTCACATCTAATATACCACCCTTTTGTGTTTTTAGATTCTACAGAAGTGTAAAGGAAGAGCTATTACTTATAAATTTTTATAAAATGCATGTAATTTAGTTTCCTATAAAAGTTCAGTTTGATATTCAGTATGTTTATAAAATGGACTATAATATTACCATAAAAGTGATTGTCTTTTAGCTACTCAAAGACAAGAAATATTCAAAGAAATGACCATATAAATGTTGATTATTTCTATTTTGAAAGCAGTGAAATCAATTTAAGGTGTTGTGGCTAACTTATCACAGATATTGTGGCTATAATATCTGCATGACTTGACTTCGAACACTCTAAACTTCAAAAAGACCTTAGTATTGATAAGTTCATCTGATTCACTTTCAAATAAAATGTCATTTGCATTTTATGCAAAGGACATATACAGGATGGCCCCTTAAGAAGTTTTTCATTAGTTCAGTGGTAGGCTTTAAGAATAATTACTTTCTGCAGCATTTCCCCAACATTTGACCACATTCCCCTTTAGAAAGATTAAAAAGATGAGTGCCCTGCTGAAACCACACAGGAAACAGAGGCACATCTAGTGGGTATTTATATCCCATGGTTCAAGTGCAGCACGAGGCTGCACGTGTTTCTTTCCAGGCAAGGTTCCTTCCAGTGCTGTGCACCAGCGGGCCAGTATGCCACCTGCCCCAGGGGCCACTGCCTCTGGATTTTGGCAGATCTCACTGCTACAGAATCCCTGTGCTGCATATGCTTCATGTGTTATTTCCATAGCGGAGGTTTGGGGCAGGCTGAAGGAGTTTTACAGTGAGAAGGGTTTGTCTGAGAACTGTGAAGAGCTGCTGGTAGGCATGAGGATGGCTCCCCTTGGGATGTCATGCCAGCCTTTAGAGGCACTGTGGTGTGCCTTCTGCAGCAACACTCATGATGGAAGACAATTTTTCAGCCCGTGGAAAGGTAAACAGTAACTTGTGCCTCTCTGAATGTGTGGCGGGGGAAAGTTCAGTGTGTTCTCATGGCAGATACCACAGAGCTGCTTTCCTCTTCATCAGGCTAGAAGGAATTTTCTATCCAGGGATTCCTAATGGATCTCATATCCAAACAGATCTGCATCTAAATATGAATCTAACATTGGGTAGACATATAGAAACAGTGCACATGTATCAAGAGCTCTACATGTGTTCACACTGTCGCTGTGCTCATGCAGATAGTGTATTTGCTTTTAAAAAGTTATTAATATGTGAAGGTAAATCTGCCACTCCTATTTTGTAGATGGCATCAGGCTTGCTCAAGTGTTTTGTTTTATGGGTTTTTGTTTTTATTTGTTTGGGTTTTGGGTTTTTTTGTTTTGGGTTTGGGTTTTTGTTCACTGCTGTCTAGCAATAGATGGCCAACTTTAATAACTCTGAGCTCAGTGTCTGAAGGTGATATTGAGCTTCTGTTTAGGCTTTGCAAACAGCAGTGGAAGGAAATCTTAAACTGAAGTGCCAGACCTTGGGTTCTTGCAAAAGGTAATAAATACACAAAATAACAGCATGAGGATTTTTTGAATTTTGGAGTTCTTGACACCTCCACACAAACCAGTAAATCCAATGAAGGAATCACATTGTAGGTGACATAGACAGAAACTCCCATTTTTCTGAGTGGAAAAGTGTACCTTAGGCATCTGATTACTCCATCAGATATTAAAGTGGATCTTCTAAGGGTGTGATTTCTAAACCACACTTTGTAACAGAGAAGGAACATTTAATTCCTGGTATAATATGGATTTCTTGTGTATTTGGCTAGGAGCTTAAAATAAAAGCCTTGGCTGTTGACTTCATTACTTACAGGTTAGCATACATATTAGCTTGTACATAGGAGAACAGTATCTTAGAGTTACTCAAATAATACTATTAATGATAGCAAAATATAGGTTCTTGAATAATTTTTTTAAAAGTATTGTCATAAATAATTCTGTTTCAAGCATACAGATTTATTATGTTGACAATGCTACTGAACAATTCAATGGAATTTGTAGTAAGGTTTCTGACAGTGTGTGAGACCTGTCTCATTTTCTCTATAATGACATAAAAAATGGATGATGCTCATTGTATCACATGTATAATGTCATGTTTTCTGCAGAGCAAAATAATCTTTAAAGACATGTTGAACAGCCTGTGTAGTTTGGAGAACATACTAGCAAATGCTTTCATTTTTAGTCATACTGCTTTTGGTATTGCAGACTGTCACCAAAGATCATCCATTGTTCTCCTTGCTTGTTTCACTTGTGTTTTGAATAGGTTACCAGTAACATCTGAAATTACTTCTCAGATCCGCTGTCCACTGCTGCTTACAGCTTTATTTGCAGCAGGCACAAGAAGAAAACACAACCACCCTTAGGTTTAACTTCACTGCCTCTCATCCAGCAATGGAGACTACAGCACCTTTAGTGATTCAGTTTAGAATGGGTGAATGGGACAGGAATCAGTCTGTATTTACAGCTTTGTTAGCCCTACTGTGCTAGCATGAATTTTTAGTAAAACCCAATTTTACTGTGGCCATGCATGCACCTGTGGTCTAATGAATGAATCACTTTGCAGGACTGAAGCCCTTGATAGCATAAACAGCAGGTAAAACTCCTGATGCACCCAGGAAATAGCTTTGTTGAGCAATGAATTGCCAAGCAAACATAGTATCTCTGCATTGCATAAATACACCATAACAACAATTCTACCTTTAAAATAGATCTCAAGGAACTTTTGCTTCAATAGCTGGAATTAGTGGTATTGGAATTGCTGCAGTTCAAGGAGTTATTCTATTTGTGTCTTCTAATTAGTTGAAATCAATTAAACACACTGTTATGCAAAAAAATTCTACCTAGGTCAAGAAAGAAAGTTACCAGATTTTTTCAGACATTTTTTCCAATATCTCTAAACTTTTATTGTAAAATTTATGTAGAAGTCTGTACTGGTAAATATCCTTAATCATGCAGGTTTTATGAAAAAGCTTTTACATAAACAATGGCTTTAAAACATGTCTATTGTTAAAAAAGCTGCCAACCTGCTTCAAGTAATATTTCATGAGACGTTCCCTGACACGCCTGTGTACTAGTGGCTGATACTAAATATCTGCCCTTTCTCTGGAGCAGGGGAAGGGCTGGCTGCGATTTCTTTTGTGTAGGGAGATTCCTTGAGTCAAAGGTGTAAATCAATCCACTAAAATGCAAAACCAGAGCAACTGATGTAGTGTGTATACAGAAGGAAAATTTCAGATTGTTTCCTGGCACTGTAAGGAATACAATCCTCAAACTGAGATATGGTTTCATGATAGCTCTTACAGAATATTTGCTTACCAAGAAGTGAGATCCGTTCATGCACAGTTTTTCTACAATCACAGCAGATTCAGGCATTCCAAACTGAGGAGAGAATAAGATAGAATTATTACAACAGTATGAAACTTGCTATTTGTAAACAAACTAATTAATATTTCTGTACTCAAATACTCAGGGTTGTGGAAATAGTTATACTAATTAGAAGAAGAATATTGGACAGAATAACTATAATGCTTTGGCAGTGACTTTCTCATGAGAGATAAGATAGGGTCTTCCCTCTTTTTTAGGAAGAAAGATTACAGGAGATAAGGGCTGATAAAACTGTGAATGGAGTAGATGAGATGAAGTTATGAAGCTGCAAATATAATATAAATGGAGCAAGGAGCCCAGGAGAAATATACTGTGGAACTTCAATTGCTGTGGGACAAGAGGAGGCCAGGGTTAGACATAGGTTGAAAGGTATTTTGAAGCAAAAGTTCATCAGTAGCCATGTCATCATCCCATAGGCCTGTTTAGCAACCTATGTATGCACTGCTGATTGCTTGGCTTCAGCACCAGATATTTGAACTAAGTGTGTCTTGCACTTATCACGATGATGGGCATTCTGAATTTCAGTTCAGAAAAAGGATTTCTTTTCTGTAACGTGGTGGTGGTGTTTTTTAAGGAAGTTGGTGCTGACTATAAATGATAATGGAACAGGAATATCCAGAAATGTTACATCTCTAAATAACACTATTACTAAATAATAATTTGGAAAAAAAAGTGGACATGTCAGATTTCCTTTATTAAAAATCAGTAAGGAATGGAGCAGGGCTAAAGATATCCTAAAAATCTCACTGTGTGTTAGATGGTTCAGTGTGGCTTCTCAAAGAAATTAAACTGTTATGCATGGAAAGTGGCAAAAAAAAAAAAGAAATTTTTTATTTAGGAATGTACCACTCTTGAAATGAATTTTACTGTTCATAATGCTTAGCTGTAAATGTCTGTAGCAGTGAAGACCAACTCCGACACTAACAGAGAAATATTAGTGAAAATAAATTCTTCTCATATTTATGTGGCTTTTCCAAGATAATTCTTTATTTCTAGACTACTTAAAACTGGTCATGCTTAAACATTCCAAGTGTATTTGATCTACTTTTTGATATGGAAATTTCAGGTTCAGGCATACATTCAGACTGGTTTTTGGCCTACTAGCTGATATTCCTGAGTTTATAATTTTTTCGTACTATGACTGGGAGAGTGCTGCTTGATTGCAATACAGAATAGACCACAATTCAACCGAGAGGGTTGCTATGGGTGTTGGACCAATGAGTGTTTGTGAATTGTGTTGATTTGCCATCAGTTGCACTGATGTTGGTGCAGAGAGAAAGAATCAAAGCTATGCACACTTCCTGCTCTTGGCTTTTGCCCATCTGTTTGTAGTTATTAGCTCTGGTGAGCTGCTTTTGAGCTTTGCCTTATGCTATTAATCAAGCATCTAACTTTTGTGTAAGGGAAAATTTGTTCCCTTTACATGATTAGTTCATCAGACAAGTGGATGTCTTGCTACCGATGTTTAGTGATGGCCGTGGAATCTTTCATTTTGTTACAAATACATTAAGATCAGTTTTGAGAAGAGGACCAGACTACATGGCAAATGGAGGCCAAGTAGGCAAACCCTGAACACAACTTGGAATGTCACAGGGTTGTTGCAATTATAGCATAGATACGAGGTAACAGGGAAGTACATCCAAAAGCAAAATCAATATGGTTAAATATTATTTAGTAGTCAAGTTATTGATTTGATACAATATGCCTTTTATGGGGCTGGAAACACTTTGCAGAATGGCTAGTTCATAACTTCTGTACTTATGACACACAGATATCTATATAATCAAGACTTTCAAAGTTAAGAAAATGCTAAAATTGCACTGTAGATACGTACCTACCCATTTTACATAAATATTATGGCAGCAGCATCAGCAGACTTCTTCCAGAGAACCCAGCCTCAGCCACAACACATAAAAGCTGATGTTACTTTCCTGAACTGCTGTTTGATATATTGTGTTCTGTTCAGTGCTTGTCTGCTGTCTTGCATACCTGTAGTGCACAGTATCAAAGCTTTCTCTGAACCCAGAATGATTTTTTTATTTGACCTGTTCTGCAGCACTCTTTATTGTCCAAGTGCTTCAGAAAGACTAATAACTGCTTTTTCTGAGGCCACCCTGTGAGACCAAAACTCCATTAGTAAGGGAAGTTGAGGTGCGTGAAATAAAAACCTTGTACAACATCCAGTGTTTTTGGATGCCTAACTACAACTGTTTAGATCCATGAGATATACATATATATTTGTATATTCAATATCTTGCCATTTTACCTTCTGAGAGGAGCTGCCACTGTGGTTGCAACTCTTGCTTCTCACTGCCTCAGGTCAAGCCCTTGGGCAGTATCATGTTTTTTCTGGGTGACTTGCATGTCTTCAGATAAAAATATAGATCTGGGGCAGTGACAGAATCTGATATTTCAGGGCAGAATTAAATCAACATTGCTATGTATTCATTCTCTCTTTTTCACCAAGCCTTGTGCCTTGTGCACCTTACAATTTCTGTAACAGCCGAGAGTAGTGCATAAACCTGCTGGTTTTTCTGCACTGACAGAGGCAGGTGTTTGTGAATGGAAAAGGTAATATGTGAAGAAGCAATTATAGGCTATTGTGGTGTGTATGTGAAAGGTGAGAAATTCAGGTTTTAGAGGTAATCCCAGTTCTGGCACATTTCAGTGCTTGTTTCTATAACCTTAACAGTATTTTAGGCTTCATGCACATGCAAGGCCTATCTCAGGGTGGGGAGATCCAGCACAGCCTCCAGTGTGTTGTCTGACTACAGACATGATGGTAGCACGTGGTGCTGAGACTCTTTGGAGTGCTGGCAGTGGGAGCTGACAACTCTGTACACGGTGGCCACAAGCAGATGGCTGCTGCTTCCAGTGTAGAGTGGCCAAGCACTTAATGTGGGTTATCCTATAGTAACTGGATTATTTAGCTGCTTTAATCAGCGATGAGAGTGTAAGCATAGGCATTAACAGCTTTTTATAAAGTTGGAAGATACTCTCTTAACAAGTATGAAGCCAGTAGTTATGGTGTGCCTGGAATATCCCTGAAAGCCTCTGGGTTGTTGAACAATTGTTGTTAACTTTCTGTCTTCTATTCTGCTGTAGAATTGCAGAACTTTAAAACCATTATACCTTCTATAAATTAGTCTGACTTCCTTTCAGCTGAAAGGCTTTGAGCTAATTAATCCTCTGAGTAGCTGTTCACAGTAGTAAGTTCACTGGTTAGCTGATATGTTATCATTATGGTATGAATTAATTCCATGGAACAGGTTAGCTTTCTCAACGTGGGAACAATTTTCCACCTGTGGTACATCTCCATTAGGAATCTGTTTGTGGTTTTGTTGTGTTGGTTTTTGCTTTAATTGTCCAGGAATGAGCACATGTATTTATACACAGGCAAGATGGAAAAATAATAATGCAAGATGGAAAAATAACAATACAAAATGAACATCTCAAACTTTGCATGGCTACTTTTTGCATGGCTGCAAATGGAACTCTTGTGGGAAGACTTCATGGCACTCTTATTTTCCTTGACAAAAATTGTGTGCTCCTTCAATAGAAAAGGATGAGAAACCTTAATGACAATAAATTCTTACTTTTAGTGTAAAGAAGGTACTGCAAAAGATTGGTGCTTCTAGAGTTAGAATTAGAATAAACACAAGACGAAAAAAATCTTATCTAAAAAATTATAGAGAGAAACTTGTCTAAAGACAAAAAGAATTTAAAGTGAGACTATATTTGCAACCACAGTGAATGGACTTCATAAGTTACAGGTAGAAGTCTAAAACCTGAGTCATACTAGTCAGTAAGTTATAAGGAAAAATATTATATCAAAAAAGGCTATATCATGGAGGATATATTTTATATATCTGGGAGGAGATTACTAAAGTAGTGAAAGATGTCTGAAAATGATCTTGGAATACTCTGTGCAATTCAGGTTATTTTACATATACCAGAAAGGACATTATAGAACTAAGAAATGTACAATAAAAGAATGATTCAAAACCCCCAAAAAGCTCAAGTACCTTAAGCAACATTTAGCAACTACTGTGGGTATATATGCATTGAGAAGAAAAGATTAACAGTAAATTCTTATTGAAAGGCTGTAAATTATAAAGTTATATTCTAATATAAAACCTAGACCTATTTTCTGTGAAATGGTTATTGCTTCCCATCAGGAAATAAATTTGGGCATGAAATACCTTTTCTCTTATAAGAAATATCCCTGTGAGCAAACATTTTTTGTATGATTTGTCATGTAGGAGATCTTAGCTAGCAGCTTCTACCATGAATTAGATTTCTATAGAAAACAGGAAAGTGCCAAAAACCTCAAGTAATATTAATAAGTTCTTGGGGGTGGCAATTGGTGATTAATCTATTTTCAGTACTAATGAATATTTGTTCTAGATTTAGGATAATATATCTGGTTTTCAAAGATCAATCCAGTAAGAGTTTCTGCTAGCTGAATATAGACTGAACTGTCTTAAGTGTTACATATACATTCAGTACCTGTCTTAGGAGATCTGCAACTTGAAAAGTTGTCCAGTTCTCAAATTCCTCTTGAGATGGTAGTTTTGTGGCCATGTTTTCTATCCAGGGAGAAAGACTTAATCTATATGAGTAACACTGAACTGTTGCTTTATTGGTTTTTACTGAACTGATGTAGAAATCCCAGGAGGAAGTCCTTTTTGCTACTTTTTTCCTGTTTGCTCACTTAAAGTGAACGCCCATAAAGAGTGATTTAGGAAGTACTAATGTTCTTGTGTGAGCAAGTCCAGTATAAGGAAACTGTAAGTTATTGTATCTACATATGCACATATCTGTCATTACTGAAATCAGTATATAAAACATTTGAATCATCAACATCTTGGAGGTTTAAATATGGAAACTGTTTTTCATATCTATTACAAAAAGAGTTAGTGTTAGCTGTCAGTTGCCTACCTTGAACTCCTTGACTCAGCTGCCTGGTTCTGCCTTCAGATTGCATTTGACTTGTTTGTGGGTTTTGACATATTTTGCTGTGGTGTTTAGACAGAAACAATGGAGCTCAGTTGCAGAACTTTCACTTCCATATTGTCATATCATATAATCTCATTTTTTGTCAAGTTTGGACATCATACTTTTGGACTTAGATAAATCACTCAGTTATTCTAAGATGATGTATGATCTAAAATTTTTGGGGTTTCTTTTTTTTTTTTTTGTGTGTGTGTGTGGTTTTGTTTGTTTGTTTTTGTTTTTGTTTTTTTTCCCTCCTAGTCATTATTCTAAAGAACAAATTGTCAGTCAATTCATTCCAGTGTTACATTATCTTTTCAAAAGGTGGGGCTAATATAACGTGCTTCTACTGAGTCAAACCATACGCTCACCCAGCCCAGCATCTTTTCTGACTGTGGCCAGAAGTGAGCTACCTGGGAAACTGTAAAGAAAGAGGGCAAGCACATAAAACTTCCAGTCTTATCCCCATCTCCAACTATTTTGAACTTGAGGACTTACTGGTCTGAGTATGGTTTCTACTTACACTCCATGCATATATGTTACACTAATAATTCCAAATTTGGAGCCATGACCGCTGTTCAAGGAGGTTCAATGAACTGGGTGGGCACAGCCGGGAATTTCTCCTGGGTTGCAGGAGCAGTAAGACAGATGTTTTTAGTGGAGGTTGAGGCTCGTGTGGAGTCAAGGGAGCAGTGCTATCAAGGCTCAGGATGGGAACTTCTGGTCCTTTCCCACCCCTGTCCAGACATCTCCTCTGAGCTGCATTCCTGTCTCACTCAGTCCTTCTCTTTCTTTTCACCTCTAATATGAACACAGAATACGCTTCTAGTTGGAGAAAACAGGATATGAATTTTTTAAATTGGAGAAGGGGTCAGGGTACATATTCTAGTATAAGGGGGGAATGTTTTAGAGTCATTGCTCTATAAAATGGGCAATAAAATTGCCAAGATGCAGCTGCAGCTGTTGAAACAAACCCAGATTATTTTGCTCAGCAATTCTGAGTCACCACAACAGGACAAATATGAAAGCTTCCATAAAAGGCCAGAGACCAAAGAATGTTATATTCTGCTTTCCAATTACTCTTCCTGTTTTATTTCCCAGTGCAAAATGGATTTGGGGCACATGTTCAACGACTGAAATGGATTTCAGATAAGTTGAAATGTCTCATCTGCCATCCTTCAGATTTCTCTGAATGTATTTTTACTGTTAGGGTGACTGACAGGTCCATTGTTGACAGTGAATACTCTTTTTGCTATCTTGTGATTTTGCAGAATGGTCAGTCTGGCAAAACTCAATTCCTGGAATTTCAGAAATGAGATAGAAGTCCTTGCAGCTTAAATTTGGCCTCCTCAGAATAATCTCCAGGTGCCTTGCTGGTATATTATAAAAAAATTATGTTGAATTACATAGTGTTTTGTAGTGTTTAATATTTCATAGTGTTGGCTGTGAGTTTTTCCAAAGGGGAGTCCACCATCTCCCTGGATGACAGGAGGCATCAATGCTCCCTTCCACTGTGTGCAGGACCAGAAGAGAGGTACATGTATTCCTTAAGAAATTTTGCTTGCCTTGGTTGCACGCAGGAGTGATTTTGTCAGTTGTTGTGTCTTCATGTGTGGTAGAGGTGGGAAGCAGCTGGGTGGGAGATGTGTGAGTTTACAGGTTTAATGGCCACTTATGGGAAACAACAAAATAACAGATGCCATCAGGTGTGAAACATGGATAACGTGAAGCGCAGCAATGCTGTTATTTATGCAGTACAGGCTGTTTGGTTACTGAGTAGGTGTAAGCCAGTTCTAGTTCAGAATAACTCAAAGGCAAAATAAAAATAGTGCTTTAAGAATTTTGCAATTCAGTGCACGCTACCAGCTGTACCTGCCCCTCTTCTTACATTGCCCATGAGGTCATGAACGTTTTCAGAACTCCTGAGCAGCTGCTCCTGGCTGCCTGCTGCCCTCCGCCGGTGTGTTCCTACACTGCCTGGCAGCCTGCAGTGTGAGCGGAGGCTCTGCCCTGCCAGCTCACCCACGGTGCTGTGCCCAGGCCTCCTTCTTGCACCTGGTTTCTCTCTGACTGCTCTCCCCCAAAACTATCTTCTGGCTAGTTCTTCTGTCATTACCTAATGTTGACATTAATTTAATTTGTATTCTAGGTTTTCGGGAGAGTGTTCTCGAGAAACCAGTGTTTATGCAGTTTACCTCTCTCCACTGAGACAGATCTATTTGGGAAGGTTATATTCATTTTTGTGTTCCCAAAGGGGCTGTAGCATGGGTGGTTGAACCAAAGGGACTGTAGCTTGCAAGAAATATTTTTCCATATGTGTTTTAATCAGATTAAAGATGCTGACAACACTGTAAAGAGAAAAACAACAACAATAAAAAAACCGCCAGGGATATGGGGATGATCATCTGGGAATCTGCATCTAGTCTCTCCATGTCCTTGGCTTGATCAATACTGTAGTTTTCTTTCCTCAAGTGTGTGAAACAGAAATGGAGAATATTATTATGTGCTTCCACTTGCTTTCAACTACCCTCAAGGGAATTATTTCAAGAACTGCTGGCTGGAGAACCCCACCTTAGGTTATCAATTCTACTTATCACCCAAATACTTCTAGTTACTCTATGTAGTGTATACCCTTTCATGGCAATTCAAATAAATACATGCACTTGAACACATCTTGACTCTGAGGACAGCAGAGGGGAATCCTTCAACAGAATACTGAGGGTTCCAGAGTCCCCCAGATAAAGAGAGGCTACAGACACTGTTTCTTTCCAAACATACAGGTGCTTATATAAAGCTGTGAAGCAAACTGTAGATACTTGGGTGTGAAACAGCACTAGCCTTGTGCAGGTCAAGCTCACTTACTACTAAATATTCCCTGGAGTCTCTTGATCTGGCATGGACACTGGCAGACTTAAAATTGTGTTTGGGTACATGTGCAGAGTGTAATCTATTATTTTAAACTTATATCTTACCAGAGATACTAACACTTTTAATCTGTACTCTTTGCAATTTCACTTCTCCAAAAAAGGTAGCAATTTGATTCTCTATATTAAGAACTAATTTTTTTCCTAATCAAAAAAGACATCTGGTACTTGAGAACTACCAAATTTCATAGGTCTCTCCATGTGTGCATTTTATACACCAGGTGATTTGACCTCTAAACAGAATTTAATTCTCATGTGTAACCTGCATATAAAGCAGAGTTAACACGTCATTACAGTATATTTTTCAATAAATTTGTTTCCAAGAGTCTGAAATGTGCAAACCACGTAACAGGCAAGTTTATACAGGCTTTTTGTGAAGTGGATTCGCAATTTGTGATTTCGTAGAGATAGTTAAAAAGCAGTATGAAAACGGGTTCCTAGATCATACTACTGGCATTTCTTACTCAATATAAATAATTTTTAATTTTGATTCATAAATTTTCATGAACATAAGCACTAAACTTAGTGTTAAACTTAGTTCAAAACTATCAAAGTCAAGTTCTGCTTTACAAAAACCCGGATTTGCTGCAAGCAAATTGTTTTACTGTATTTAACACTAGAGTACTGCTCTCAGGAAAATATACTTGAACAAAATAACTCAATGAAATCTTACTGTATAGAAAATATGAACTACTATCACTGTTTGTTTTTTCCCGTTTTATACAAAAATAGTGAAAGTAACATGACTTACCACATACTCATTTTTCTTCTCCCAGGCACACATTGGAGTTGATTCCAAGTAAGTTAAAGGAGCAGTTTCTCATGTCTGCTCTTGCTCCTTAAACTGTCCCATATGTATTTTGTTGTTGTTAGTGTGATTGACAGGCTTGGCATTCATGGTGGGTGGGAGAAAAACATTCTTAAAGTAAAAAAGCTGAAATATTCTGAGTGTGAGTAAGTCTACAAGGAATGTTGGAAAATGAAGTTTTGCTTACAACTGTCTAGCAGTTTGATAATAATTTTGCTAATTGGTTTTGCCCCCCAGCTTACCAGGAGATAAAAATAGCAACATAATCAACAGAAATCATAGTGTGTGAAAAGAACTTTGGGAGATCTTGGCAGGACTTCAGCAGAGAGGTAGGATCAAATACAATGAGTGGAAATTGGGTCAGTCTTGTAAATCAGTTTGTAACCCATTTTTCTAACTTAGTTCTTGGGGAAGCATCAGATTCATCACATCCTTGAGTGGAATAGCAGGAGAAAGAACTGTAATAATTTCTGTGCTATTCTGCTGGAAGGAGCAAGAGGAAGTGCCTGTTTGTAAGGATAATTACAGTCTAAGCACCAGATGAGCTCAACCATGACAACCTCTTGTTTGTGAAGAAGCAAACCCTGTTTCATTAGTGTTTGTTAATTACGTACTGATTTGGTAAACTTTTGTTTAGTCTTTTCACTCTTCAGTTTGGTTCAGTCTTCACTAAGAAATGAGGTGTTCAGCTTGGTCCCAGTGTACTGTTCTTTACCCCTTGGAAACTGCTTCTGTCTCAGTGCTATCTCTGTGTACTTTAGGAGTACGCTTGTTATGCAGCATCTATGTTGTATACAAAATACTGAATACAACTAAGTCCAGAACAAACTCCTGTGGGAATCTACTTGAAATACCCTTTGAGTTTGGAAGTGATTCACAGATATCTTCTCCATGTGAGTCAGATGAGCACTTAAAACACAGTGTTTTAATCCCATTTCTCTAGTTTGTATGTGATGATTTGTATAAGGAACCTCATTGAAAGCCTCAGTGATATGTACTTTGTGCCCATTATCTAGGGAAGGAATGAGATTAGTTTGACAGTTTGTTCCTGACAAGTCAGTGCATTGAGGCAATTTGTGAGAATTGAAGTTGGGCTGACTGTTCTCCTTCTCCCCTCATCTTAAGGGTGGATGTTTGTTCTTGTTTATCTACTGTCATTTTACTGCCCTACAGGAGGTGCTGAATTCATAGCACTGAGAATTTGGGGATAATTCTTTGACTAGTTCTTTACATAATATGTGTTGATAATTTCATTATGCCATCCTTAATTAAACTTCTAATTCACTTTAATATCAGTAAGAAATATTCTGATCCTGCTGTGGCTGCTATAAAAATTAAGCATCAGGTCACAACCTCTTCTGTGAAGATTATTTAAATGCTTCAGTTTTCTCTCATATTTATTATTTATTCTTTTTGTGTGTGTGTGTGTTAAGGTGTGGATCTGGAAATACCTCCTGCTTTTTTTATTTCTAATATTTCAGAAGCCATGGTGACTTGAGTGAACTTTGGATGAACTTGTGGGTGAAGGAAGTGTCACAGGCTTTTCCAGTGGTGCCACAGATGAGTAATAAGGGCAAGAGTTTCTTATACAAATGTTCCTGCAGAAAGTAATTGTGTACTTTGGGTGGTTTAGCTTAATTGCATTCTGATGTGTACCTTTGTCATTAGATTGCTTTTTGCTTTTCACCATTTGTTTTTTGAAAGGGCACGTTGAAATTTCTAAAAGTCATGCAACAAGAAAGTATCCAAAATAATTTCTTTTTATCGAGTTGTATCTCTTTCCGTATGACAACATACTCCAACAGGGGCAACAGGTACTACTGGGTTTTTTCCCTCCTACTATGCCAGCCAGTTATGAGGTATGAAAATGCAGTTCAGGAGCCTTGGGTTCCCTTTGTAACTGATGAATATTATTTTTTATGACTTTAATAAGACAATTAAGGAGTTTTTCAGACGCCAGAGGGAACTATGCCTGCCTAAATGCTTCATGGATCTTTGCAAATCTCCTTGTTTCCCTGTCCTAGTGTTTTCCTCCATCCCTATTTCTATGAGATCATTTAGAACTGTAGCAGGGAGAATTTTAGGAAGCCTTAATATATCAGTGTTTGTCCAAAAGTTATGAAAACATTTCTGTTATAAAATGGGCACGTGAGATTTTTACATGTCTGTTCTTCTGGTTTTAGTATGTGGGGGTGGTGGTGGTGGTGTTTAGTTGAGTGTTTTGTGTTTTGATGTTTTTTTTTTTTAAATTAACAGTGTCTTTTCACTTCTACTAACTGCATGTTGTATTCATTGGTTTTGTGCACTGCTTGTTTTAAGTTGTAATATGGAGCAATAAATATTTAGAAATTATCTAAGCAGTTATATTCAAATCAACATAAAATTTATTGGAGGATTCTGGAACCTATGTTACTGAAAAATAATTAATTTTTCATGGTAAAGAATGAAAACATCAATTTGCAAATTTAATTGAATTAATATGTAGCTCTAAACAGTAACACTAAAAAGCATTTCTTCCTTGTGATCACAAAAGACCCAGATCCAAAGAAGACTCAAATAGGAGGGAACAAACACTGCAAAAACCAAACCCCAGACACCCAAAAACTTGCTAAGAATGGTTACCACCATTGCTACATCAAGGCTGATTTGAAACCTATCACCTTTAAATCACTTCCCCTATATCCAGTTTACTGCATAAATATACCCTATTTCTTTATTTCACTCATTCTTCAACCCATTCCTGGGGCACGTAGTTTGAACTGAATTTCTATTATTGCCAAATGTACTGAGGTTTTTTTGTTTTTTGTTTTGTCACAGAGGCTGGATACCTGATACAACCCATTGTTTTAAGGAAAATTGCTCTTTGTGTTATCATTCAACTTTCTGAAATCTTTTTATATAGCTTTTGGTTGTTAGTTTGACCTTCTCTTTGCAACTAGCAACAGATTCAGCCTTTATTCTAGAGAGCTTTGCCAAACTAACCATGCATTACAAATGTACTTATTTTCATGGGTGTTTGTTTGCAACCTGGATTTTGCACCTAGTTTTCTTTATCTTTTCAAAAATTCATGTTTTTAACTAGTACAATAAAATATAACAATAATAAAAACACAACCTGCTACAAAAGTGACGTTGTTCATTAGAAATTCTCTTTGATTTTTTTTGAAGGCTGGAATTGATGCTGTAGTGCTTGGTTGTGATATTCTTTGCAAGTGCTCACTATTCTTTGCTGTTTAACTGAGCCACTTTTTTGATTTTTATTCTTTTGAACACCTTGGCAAAGCTTGCTGTCTATTCCTCTAGATTCATATGCTGACTTGTATAGTTTGCACTTAGATTTTATATAGTTTCTTCAAAGAAGTTCTCCTTTGAAATTCATCTGTGTTGTCTCTTCTTATAAAATATAGAAAAATATGTATGAAGAGATTTCCATCTGGCAACATTTATATGCATTAAAACCTACTGAGTAAATTTAAAAACAGAAAACCAGGCTTATTTCAGTGTCTTGCTTTATTTAAATAAAATTCCTGGGCAGTTTAAATTTGAAATGCTGTGGCTGATGCTTGTTTTATTTTTTCTTATTCTTTTGTTGGATTTTGTTAGTCTAATGAGTTCTTGTTCAACCACTATTGATTTTTTTGAGGCTTGAATATTGATATGTCTAGAAAGCATTTCACCATGCACATGACTCTTGAGATAAATGGAAAAATGTCAACATAATACTGCAACTCCCAATGGGCATCATTGCCTGGTATTTTACAGGGGAAGATCTCAGTAAAACTTGACCCTGTTGGTGTTGAAGTGTGCCATGAACTTTAGATTAAAAACCAGAGCGATGGTTATTTTTGCTACATCTGCTTCTCGGGACCAGAGTTGTCTGTCATTGCAATGAACTTGGCCACCTCCTGCTAACTGTAGTAAGAGAAAATTCTAAATGATGTTTCTAGGAAATCTGCCTCAGTATGTCTTCCTAAAGAAGGCTAAATTTAAATAAAAATACACAAAGGTGTGCATTTACTTCAAGTGTTATGGATACCACTCATTTCTCTGAGGTATAGGCACAGAGGTACATCTCCATTCCTCATTTGCCCTTTTCTTCTACTGTGCTCCTTACAGTCCTTGTAAACTTTGGAAGAGCCTTTGATATTTCAGTACATGCAGCTACCAAGCAGTAGTTCTTTTGATTTCCACAGTGAACTATTAATACTGGAGTTCACTGAAATGATAGTGGCTTGAACCAGAAAAACTTCAGTCACAACGGACTTTGGAGTTACAACTGAAGTATTTGTTATTGGAATGCTTTGTTAGGAGCAAATGTAAGGTCTAAGATGGAAAACAGAGTTGCTTCTGTTTTGAAGAGTTATTTCTTTCAAGCTGTGGTGTAGTTGACACACTGAGGGGAAGGGATGCCGTCCAGAGGGACCTTGACAGGCTTGAGAAGTGAACCTGTGCCAACCTCATGAAGCTCAACAAAGTCGTGCATCTGGGTTGTGGTGATTCCAAGCAGAAATACAGGCTAGGAGGAGAATGGATTTGGAGTAGCCCTGTGGAGAAGGACTTGGGGATGCTGGTGGATGAGAACCTTGATGTGACTTGGCAATGTGCACTTGCAGCCCAGAAAACCAACTGTGTCCTGGGCTGCATCAAAAGCAGAGTGACCAGCAGATCAAGGGAGGGGGTTCTGCCCCTCTGCTCTTGTGAGACCCCTCCTGCAGTGCTGCACTCAGTTCTCAGGTCCCCAACATAAGGACATGGGCTGTCAAAGATAATCAGAGGGCTGGAGTACCTATCCTGTGAAGACAGCCTGAGAGTTGGTGTTGTTCAGTCTGGAGAAGAGAAGGCTCTGGGGTGACCTCATTGTGGCCTTTCAGTATCTAAAGGGGACCTACAAGAAGGCTGGAGAGGGACAGCTTACAAGGATATACAGTGATAAGACAAGGGATAATGGCTTTCAACTGAAACAGAGTAGATTGAGGTTAGATATTAAGAAAAAATTCTTTACTGTGAGGGTGGTGAGGCACTGAAGCACTTGTCCAGAGAAGTTATGGATGCCTCATCCCTAGAACGTTTTTCAAGGTTTTTTG